TATGAGATGTATTCACCCAATTTCGTTTAAGGTAATGAAGGACTGGTAGAAGAAGAATTTTCCCACAATGCTATGAGTTGAGCTGACGTTTCGACTACATTGCCACGAGCGCCTTCTGAGTCACAGGGCAAATGTGAATTTTTATGGAAGGCCAGGCCTTTTTGCCATATCATATTCATTTGGTGGAAGTGTCAATGAAGCAAATGTATATCTGCTATAACAATCGACTACTATACTTTATTTTTCGAATTAAGTATCGTTTTTCATGCTGTTAGATACGAAAAACAATACCTTATTCGAAAACTAAATAAGTCTTTTTTGCAAAATAACGTAACATCTTCTATACGTAGTGTGAGGTAGGCACTAAGAGTGGACTCGATCTGACAACCACGTGAGTAAGCTTGATGATTTCATTATAATTAATGCAACCCTGCCCCTAAATGCTAGTTTTATTCAAGCGTGATTGCCGTTTCGACCTGACCTCTTCGTCTAGTCAGCAAGCCCAACGGGATATAAAACCGATCCATGTACGTCATGATCTGGCAGGGAAACCACTTGGGAGGGAAGATTAAGTAAAGTTCCCCGAAATCGGAGGACCTACACGCAGGTCAAACTCACATTAAGCAAGCTTGAGCGATTCAAGTTATGAAGACCAAGATGTTGTGGGCTCTGATATGGTTGCAGTCTCCTTTCGATTTTTAGAAGTGCGTTGACCTCGTCGCAACTTAGTCTTGTTGTCAAGGCGACTTAGTAGAACTCACTTGATCTGAATTCGTCTGCCATAGCAGTTGTCATGATTCCCGGCATCAGACATTGCATTTGGTACAGTCTCAAAAGTTTCGCTGACATCATTAGTGAGTTTTGCCATTCTCCGCACCAAGCTACAAACTCGTCAAAGAGACAAAACTGATGATGCCGGAGAAACGTTTGAGAATGTAGCAAGTCCATTGTCTGATGCTGGGAATCATGACAACTACTATGGCAGACGACTTCGGTCTAGGTGCGTTCTGCCAAGTCGCCCTGACGACAAGACCGAGTTGCGACAACGAGATCAATGCACTTCTATTGAGTGATTCAAGTTAATAAATAAAAGCTATTGGTAGGTTGTAGACGTACCCATTCTGTTCAAAAATAGGCTACTTAACTACTTACGGCGAAGTAGGTAAGTAATACTTTAATCAGAATGTTGATCGCTCTGGGTCGCATAATGCTTCGAAGGACTGGTAGTGGAATTTTCCCACAATCATAAGAGTTTATTATCTCTTGAACCCTTAACCAGAAACGAGAGTATAATTTCGACATATTACTACGGGGTATATTGCCACGAGGGCCCGTGGGTCACAGGGCAGAGGTGACTTTTAAGACACTCTAGACCGATCAAAAATGAAATTTTAAAATTGGGCTGTCGATAAGACAATATTTTACTAAACAGTACAATCGCCGATACTATTTATTTTTGATGTGAGTAGCTAACGTAACTATAAGAAATTCTTGAATAATAACCATGAGTAGGTTAGATCACTTAAACAGACTGAAGGGTTGAAATGGACATTTTTCGGAATATAAGGAATATAAGCATATATCTGTCATTACAATCAACTTAAGCGGCAATACCGGCAATTAAATTGCTTTGAAAGACATCATTTATTAGTTGGAAAAATTTTTATAATCCCCTTATGCGACATATGTTGACTAAATTGTTATTTCCACCATTCTTCCAGGTTTTTGGGGCTTTCGATTTCCCATGAGGTTATACTCCATATTTTAGCCTTTATCGTCTGATTAATCGGAGTAATTATCCTCCTCATACGTGAGGAATCAGGTTATTTGTCTGTTGTTAGCTTTGTAAGAACTAGAGCAAAAAGACACAACCTTTGTCGGAGCGAACACATAAATTGTTCTTCAGGACCGAGTTTGATTCCGATTTGCCCGCTTTGTAGACACACGAAGCATTGGATTTCGCAGTCTGAACTGACATAGATTCTATCTTTGCTAGCCAACTTGACAGTATTCCGTCTTCGTCCCCACCCTTACCCACCTCAGCATTCGAGCCAAGAGCTCGCCAGTGAGACCGCAAAGGGTATTCTTTGCAGCCAAAGGTTTTCTCTTGCCCGCCAACGGTGGGTGGAAGGAACAATGAATCAAGGAAACTATAAGACCAGATTATTCATCTTCATTTGACACATACGCTTCGACGACGTGCATGTCACTTGAAGTGACTTCTATCTTCTGGTCTTGTGGCTCCCTTCGGTACCTCCTCGCCGAATGCATTAAGGAGGGTTATGAGGCCGAATCTGTGCACGCCTCACCTTCGAAAATCGAGAAATCGACTTACGCACGTGTCTTTCCGACAGCTCATTCAGGCAACCGGTGTCCAATTTCCCGTCAGTTCACCATAAAGAGCATTACACACAAATCTGTATCTTTCATAGTCCTCGCCTGTCCTCACTCCCCTCTTTCGCCGAAAAATACGTGAGGGGCCAAAAAGGCGATACTCGTGTATTTGCCTAATGCCTGTGTGATTGCAACTAGTCTGATCTACGTGTATGCGTCTATGACAGGCATTTGGGGAAATGAAAAAATTTAAAGGTATTAAGAATGTCATATATATTTTAATTTGTATGAGATAAGGTAGGAATTATGGTTGAATTGCCAAGAATGGCTTGTCTGTTTGCCGAGGGATTGGGGATGCCAAATGCAGTGCCTCGGTCTCTTCGGCAACTCTAGCGAGACTCACACAGAGCCTTTAGTCTACCCAGCCAGAAGATCATCGGACAGATTTAACTTTCTAGGCCAGCTAGGCACCATATGAATCCAATTTCTATTGTGGGACTATCGGTAAGGCAAACGCATATTTTAAAATTAAATCAACAATGCTATGCATATACAATATGAGTTAGTTGTGAAATGATGAGCAATTCTTGAATAGGAATTTCGTCTCAGTCACTCAAGGTATGGAGAGGTAATAAAATTTTTTCCACAATGAATTGAGTAGACTCCCAAATGCCAATAAATTTCACTTAGCCCTGCATCCCATTAAGCTATCTCATTCGATCTGGACTTCAATGTCGACCTTATCAGCAAAGATGAGAGAAATTTCTTAACATGCTCATTTGGAAAGTATGCAATTTGAAGATTTGTAATAGCAAATAAATGTTTGCCTTATCAACGATTTCCCATTAACATGTGGTCTAAACGGGGCTTATACTCGAGACCATAAAACGGGATACTAATGTGTCACCATGATGCTCATGACCTGGATTCGAGATACGAAGAGAAACTTGGCTTCGATGAATTGTTAGGAGGACCTTCATTTCGTATGAAAGTGCATGAAGAACAGATTCGTTGGTCGATCTGACCAGATGAGGACGGATGAATCTCGTTGTACTGCAGCCGTTTGGATTTTAGACGATATTCATGTTGACGCAGTCCACGGGACTTCCTCCCTCGTTTCGTCCATCATTCGATGGACATCATCAGAGCTGGGTGTCATTCTTGTAGGAGTCTCACGTGAACACGAGAGCAAGAACACTATCCGGCACTAGCTTACTTTTTATATAGGAAGATAAGAGAAGGTATTGAAATTAATAGCTTAGAAATACTTTGAATGTGAGGAACGGAGGTAGAAAGTTGAATAAGAATTATTTATGTTTGATTGATAGATTGAAAGAGAGAGAGGGTGTTGAGCCACCTCCAAAAAGAAGGCGCCTCAATTTGTCTGCTCAATGATGTTTCTAATTTCACTCAAATTCACCCAAAATATTACATTAAGCTCTTCAAGCAAACCAGAGATGTCAGATTACGCAACCCCAGTCTTGCTTTTCCTTGGAGGGTTTGACGTTAATGACCCTTGACCGAAAGGTTAGGACA